AAGAGAAAGCCAGAGAGAGAGAGAGAGAGAGAGAGAGAGAGAGCGAGTGAGAGAGAGAGAGAGAGAGAGAGAGAGAGAGAGAGATATGTCGAGGGAGAGGAAAGGAGAAAGACAAATAGACTCAAAAAGCCAAAAAGAAAAAAATATAACGAATAGTTCACGAACTTTGTGAGGTTACTCGTATTAACTTGATGCCAATGTTTTGTTCATGCTTATATGGAACCTGTTCGTCACCCGTGGTTCTCACACAATCGTCAATAAAACCTTCACTTCTTTCAGAGAATTAGGTTTAATTCATTCCTGCATAACAGATCTTTCTTTCAAAAGGAACCCCCAATGCGTGACATCTTTTTTTAACGAACCTCCATGTAAATAGCATGTTCTCAGAACTGATAGTCCACCAAAATAATCCATGTGAAGCGCCGTTTTGAAGTGGTCAAATTAAAATCTTTATGGGCCTGAGTCAAGATCACGAAATACATTGTATCTTGGTTTGTACGGAAGGTCAAGAAAGGTCTAATCTAGTCAAAACTCGTTAATGAGAGATAGTGGCTTTACGAGCTGTTCCGCACACCTCAAGAATAACATCAAATTGCAACAGAAAGGGAAGTTTTTATAATTGTCTGTACAAATGTCATGACAGGGTCGTGGGGGGAAATGAAATACACTTTAAAATTACAAAGCGAAAAAGATATTTGTCTATTTTTCCACACAGAAGTGGAAATGACTAGAATAATGGAGGGGAGAATCGATGTAAAGTGGTGAGAAAGCAATACGTTTCAACAATACTGGTAATGTATACTGGTAATTTAGATACAGCATCGGTACAGCATTAAATAATAAAATAATAATAATAGTGGCTACTTGTATAGCGCACAGGTCCACCTTTCGGTGCTCATGGCGCTTAGAAAAGAGTACATGTAACAGGCATAAGAAAGAAAAAATAATAAACCGAAAAACAAATTCGGAATTCTCCTAGACATAGATATAGATTTTAGTTATAAACTGATGGCTAGCATCTGACGAAATCCAACACCAATCAGTACTTGTGGTGGAGATATGAAGGGGTGCCCCATTTAATTATCAAAAAGAAAGACCAAAAAAAAACCGTGGTGGGGGCAGTGCAGTGAATATTGATCATCACTGACGCAAGCTATTATTTGTGATAGTCATTAGATCTACTCTTTGTTTCAAGCCCAAACGGAGCACGAGTCCCAAGAATAGATGCTAATCCACTCTGATAACACATGTTGACGAGTATAGTAGCTTTAATTGCTTGTGATAAACAAAATATCTTTATCCCCGTCATCGTCATCAAATCACGAAAAATCTTAAACACGATGTTTCAATTATTCGCAATCGTTTCGTACCTCAGTATTTTCACGGATTGATTCAAGTGACGTCACGCCTGTGAATGGAGGCGGAATGGTCAATATTTAATTGCAGCGGCCTCTTTTGTTTTCTAAGCTTGTAACGGAATAGATTATTAGGGCACCCATTGAACCATTGTTATGTAACATTATACCAAATACTCAGCATGCTCACGTTGCTACACTGTGTTTGAAGGTCATTGAAAACGAGATTTGTTGTATGACTGTCATTTTAAACACAACTTGTTGTGTTTTAATCCTTCGTTCTTATTCTATTATCAAATAAACGATGAATCACCAGTCGTAAAATAGCTATATGTAAAAACACATGTTTTCGTTCCTATGTAGATAGGAATGAGTACATACCTGAGAGGATATTTTTCAAATGTTTCAACGTTTTGTTTCTAGTTCTTCCAATTTAAAGTCATTTCATTTTCCATAAGTCTAACAAGCAGAAACATAATTTCATAACTTGCATAAGCCATCATAATATACATAGTTATCATTTTGTTTGTGGCTTAGCATCATGACCGAATGAAACTTCTGTTGGAATGCATGGGTTGTGATGTATGGTCTGCTAACATAAATGCACCATTGTGGCGCCACCAATATGTTATAATGCATATGCTTATAGGCCAACTGTTCATCTTGTTTGAAAAGGTAAAATTTTATAAAATGTGTATGTTGTTGTTAAAGCGGCAATGAATACATGAAGCTACCTAAAAGTTAACTGTGCCACTAAAGTTTGAATTCTTTGTACTTGACAGACACAAAATAGTCAATACAATCATCCTTTTCATCAAGACTCCGCATTATTGCGTTAATCCTGGAATGCATAACAATGCTTTCATTTACAAAACATTTTGTCTGTCATAATAAAAGGTATTTAATGTCAACATAACTTTTCCACTATCCACACACACACACGTGCTATTTCGACACAAAATACACAAACTCTCACAAAGGTTCTCTAGAAATGACCTTTGTACCACTAACAGCACGGGCGCTCAACCGTTCTGTGATTGTATCTTTCCTGTTCGAATGCTCTTCACACTGTTTCTGTACGTATTGCATTACATACCAGTACTTCCTTCAATACTTCTCTTGTTCGCCCGCAGCTAGCGCGCGACGCGGGGAACTGGCTTTATTTAAATCGGAAAGGCGAGTTGAGAATTCAGACACTCAATAGCGCGAGGGGTTTACAGAGGTGTAGTAGCAGGGAGGTGAGACTTTAAAGTAGAGAGGCACCATTCATCAGCAGAACCACTATAACGGTGGATAGATTTCATATTGTTGAATACACTGGAGGAGATACTGCTTTTATCATTTTAACATTTTATTTTGTGATTGTTTAACATTGATTTAATACGTCAACCGAGGAATAAATACCAGACGAGTGGTCAATAGGGTAAGTGTTTTAAGGTAGCTCAAAATCAAATAGAGATGCGATCATGCGAGTCACTATCTGATATATTCTCCACCTCTCCATTTTCAGTTGTAATGTATCTGTTGTGTTGTTGTGTGAATATTTTTTTTTGCACGTGTGTTGTGTTCTTTTGTTGGTGTCCAAGTCTCTCTTTCAAATTCAAGTTCATTATCAACGGCAATTCCTCAGATGTATATATATATATATTGTGCATGGTAACTGCCAAAATATATACTATCAACCCACGATTGAGGCTACTGTACACTTGGCATTTAAATTGTGTATTCAAAATCAGTTCCCTGAATGAAGGATTTAAACTGTAAACCGTTTGTCATTGTGTTTCTATACAGTGCCCAGGCCCTGGAATTCTGTTTCACTTTCACATGAAATGTTAAGTTGTATACATTCAAAAGAGAAATGTGATGGTGGTGGTATTGTAGCATACGGTTGGTGTGGTATATTATTATACACGTTATATTACTAAGCTAAAACGGGCTAAGGTGGATATATATGATTTACATATATTTCAAAATTGCACAATTTAAAATTGTCTTCCTGTCAGGTACAATGTTTGGAATTTTATGTATTCTTATATTTTTTTGAAAAATATGACATGTTTTTCCATCTCAAGGCCAATATGACTGGTAATCACTTAGCTTAGAATATCGTACTCGGATAAACCGCATTATTTCCTGATTTTTTTTTATTTGATCTTTTGTTTATTTGTGCAACCGGTATCCTTTGGAAAATTAATGATAATAAATCCCGACAATGATCATACTAACAACAAGATGATGATAATAATAATGATAACAATAATAATAGTTTTAATACTGATGATGATGATAATAATAATTAATAACAATAATTTTAGGGCCGAAGGAAAAGGCATACCGTATAGAGAGAAGGAGGGAGGGAGGGAGGGAGGGAGGGAGGGAGAGGGAGAGAGAGAGAGAGAGAGGGAGAGAGAGAGAGAGAGAGAGATAGATGGGGGTAGTCTTAACAGGAGAAGTGAGTCAAGCAAGTTAAAATTTCCACTCTGATAAGGAGTCTTCATAATTATGTTAGCCATCGTATTTACCTGTAGGACCTATGTGCAGGTCTGGTTATTATGTCGATTGTGTATGTGTTATTGTTTTGTCTGTTAGACGTTTTTTTTTTGTCTTGTTTTCTTTCAAAGACGTTTTTGCTGGATTGTATTTTCTATGATATTGAAATAATCAATGTTTTTGATTGTGAAAAGTCAGTAAACATAAACCCTTCGTTCATTCATGTGGTATATCCACTACTTTAAAAATAGTCTTTTTGTGCCTTTTCACAAAATCTTGATTTCCATGCATCCTTGATTAATTGAGTAAAGGTCTTCAATTCAGTATAATAGCAAATTCAATCATTGTATTAGTATTGCCCCTGATAATATTTAAGTCAACTAGTAGTCACCATATGGATTATATGTCAATGTCAAAGGAGTTCAAATGAACGGGCGGCACCGCTTTAAAACAAAAACGAAAGTCTTTGAAGATGTCCACTCCCTTGTGCTTAGCACTTCTTAGAATACAAAAGAGAAGGAAAAAAAAATGTGCTTACATTTTTGTATAATTACAAATGTATCGACAATTCAACACACAATGATCATATTTTGATAGCCGATCAAACTGTACGTATCAGTGCATAGTGCTCATGTCTGTCGCTATCATATTTGATTATTTTGTCCCCCTTTCTATTATTTCCTTGCCTTTCGGTTATCATTTTTATTTAGTAAAATTGATGTTGCCAGTCATTCATGTTTCATTGATGCATGGATGTTATTACTTTGTATATCGCATGTAGCTCGTGGAGATCTCCTTCTCCACACATTTAAATAAACATGTGCTTTTCCATTAGCCGGAAGCAATTTAATAGTAACATTTCGTAGCCATTGACAACACAATAAAGCTTTATTCACCATTCATCTTTCTACTTTTTAACGGTTGATTGCCACGCTATTCATGTTTATATTTTGATTTACCTCTCCTTACAGCCATCAATCGAGTCGAGGGCGACGATACCTCCAAATCGGATAAGTCGAAGAAGAAAAAAGAAAAAGTCAAGAAGGATAAAGAGAAGAAAGAGATAGAGAAGAAAGAGAAGAAAGAGAAAGAGAAAGAGAAGAAAGAGAAAGAAAAGAAAGAGAAAGAGAAGAAAGAGAAAAAGGAGAAGGTGAAGAAAGATAAGAAGACAAAGGACAAGAAAGAAAAGAAGTAAGTATTGCTCTATATATATATATATCGAAGTTAAAGTGAATTTAATCCGATTTAACTTCTAATGTGCCCCCACCCACGTTAAAGCGATCGCCACTTTTAAACAAGAGTTTCACTGTCTTGTAATTTATGTGGCATGCGTTGGGGCGGAAAGGGAAATAATACATCTACTAAAATGTGTAGTGTTGGCGTCCATTTGATAGCTTTATAATATAACACCTATTCCTGTGAGAGATAAAGAGATCATCTTCAATTCTTAATCTTCTTTGGCTCTCAGATGCCAGATTGACTGTCTACCTGTCGGATTTATCTTGCTTTGATATCCACAAATAATAAAACTCTCTTTCTATAATCTCTATTATTCATTGTCATGATAGCTGCACATTCTATACATCACACTTCCTATGTGGAAACAATCCATTGTTAAGTTGGTAAACATAGCGCCACTTCAAAACAATTGAAATCTGTAAATCGTATCAAGAGAAGCCGTATTGGCAGACAGTATTTACTTTTTAATTGCTGACAATTGACAATCGGTGTTCATTCTACGATTGGCTGACCCGGAGCTCGGACCGCTGTTTTCGCGATTCCAGTCTCCCTCTTTCCTACCAGTAAAGTTCGGATAGTTGATGCTAATATTCTAGCTTCATCTCAATTCAGATCAGTTCACAACATTTGTTAGAATCGTTTGCTTAGACAGAATTTTTGGTTCATTTTTCTCGCAGAAAGTCGAAAAAGAAAGCTGAATACAAGGAATTGCCTCAGCCCCCAGAGATATCGGATTTGACAAGTTCTGTTGGTAAGTGAACATCAGCCTTGTTACTTTATCTTGAGATGAATGCTTGTATGTACATGTATATATTTTTTTTGGCGGCTCGGCATCTCTTTTTAAAGCGATTATTATATGCCTGTTGTCTCTTTAGAAATTAATATCACATAACTTATAAAGTTGAATGTCAGGGTAATGACTATTTTGATCATCGTTACTTTTTAAAATTTTGATCCCACATGTTGTAATTCGATTCTGAAATTCTGAAATGAAATTTTAATACTTTTTGTCGCATCTATAGTCGTACATGCTTCCTCCACGCACCCGTCGATTATGTTTCATAAAAATAGCATTATAAAGTTCCCCAAGATCGTGCAATTTGTTAAGGCTTTCCTCCTTAATGTACTACACTAAGTGTTAGTCAGAAACATTGATTTCTCATGATAAGGAATGTCTTGAAAGCGATACGTGTTATACCAAGATATTCACCTGTCACCACCACCGTTGATCTGCAATGACTGAGATTTGTCACCCTCTCACAAGGCTTTACCATGGAGTTAACTCCATGGCTTTACACACCAATCGATAGGTTATCACAAGGCAGACGATCTTATCGTCTTGCTTCATTTAGAGCACCCCATTACACGTTCCGATGATCTTGCACATTTTTAAGACCAAAGATTTTCGCGCCAATTTTAGGATCGCAGCACCTAATTAAAGACGAGCCGCACATGTGTCGTTGACAAGTCCTGGCTCTATTCCATTCACATTAATACATGTAATTAAATACTTTAGACTTTAATTGGACACTGTCTATCACTTGTAAACATCTGTGATGTGTGTAATTGTAAGCATATTTAACGCTTTATCAGTAGTCAAAATTGTATATCAATCCCTGAAATTCCGTCAAACTAAAAAAGGGGAAATACATGTATCTCTGTTTCCAATTTCATCGTTTATTACGAGAAGCGCTTTAGGAGTAAAGAGACGTTGTTTAAACTCAATTTTGAAATGTATTACAAAGTTTTCTTTTAGCCAGTAGTGGCGAAGCACTTTACGCAAAGGAAGAAAGAATTAATATTCCCATTCCTCTTTCTATTTATTCTTGTCACAAAAGTCATTGTGATTTTATCTCCTTTTTCATTACAAGGTGATTAAAAAAGAGAATGTAATTAATTGTACGCTCTTTTATCCAAACGTTTTTAAATAATGCTGAATGCCATTGATAAATATGTGTCTTTCATCGACTTACGTCCTTGTCTGAACATGAACTATGAAACCTGTTTTTAACCTGTTTCTCTCATTGTTTCCCTGACCTTTCTCGCACAGACGTGACCAATTTCAACGGAGACACTCGAAACCTTGAAGACGCCGTCACAATATCTGTTAAGATAGAAACAACCGATTCTGACAACATGCGAGGGAAGGAAAACACAAGGTGAGTGAACGGAGTTACATAGCTTCACTGGTGTCCTTCATCATGTTGAACTTGGTTGGTTTAGAGGGGCGTCGACCCTGGGTCACTAAGGGGCAGCCCCTCCCCCTCTCTCTCTCTCTCTCTCTCTCTCTCTCTCTCTCTCTCTCTCTCTCTCTCAAGTAAATCACTGTACGACACACAATCCGGTGACAAGTATGGTAATTTCTTACACTATAGTCGGATTCACAACTCCAACCATGGAGCTAACATTATACTTAACCCTAACCTTAAACTTAAACTTGATCTAAAGCACAATCGCAATCCAACCGCTGACCCTCTTACCCTATGACGAAAGAAAGCCAGTAATAGATGTCGAATTACCCTAGTAAACTCGATGTTTCATGCAATGTTTGAGAAGCTGGATGATTGTGTTTGCACCTCATCCTCTATCCTAACAATGATTTTGAATCCATTGAATACGTTATTTGATTTCGTTGTAATGGAGATTACATTAAATACATGTACCTGCATTTTAAAATGGTTTAAACCATCAAAGTAAGACCATATATCTCGTAAATGTATAATAGGTGTAATAATATCAGTGATTGATGTATTATAAACGCGACTGGCCGAAAGTGTTTGTAAATGAATTTGCGGCTATTATTTATAGTTTAGTTCAGATAAACATGTATATTTTTGTCCGCATGAATATTGCTGTGATACCTAAATCAAGTCAATACGTTAACTGTAGCAGTGATTTAGAGATTGCCAAATATCAGGACTTTCTGTAAAAATATATTTCATCATTTGATCGACAAGATTGGCCAGGGAGATAATGACCCTTGGCTCAAACGGGGAGTCTACAAATTTATATTCTGACATCGGAAGTTTTATTCTCTGATGGTTTTGATTCGGCAAAAAGATAAACAATTTGTTTCAGTTCAAACGGTTCTTACTCATATCTGGCATTTTCTTGGATGGTAGAAGTGGAATGTTTTCACGATTTATCGCTAGTTTCGATCGCTTTTATATGAACAATAATGTGGCTTCTGTCGACCAAAAGAAATGTAGAAAAAATAACAAAAATTACTATATGTTTGATGAACTCTTCTGTTTGAGCGAAATAACGTGAAATAAACGGCAGTTATAATTATGAAGTCGTATACTATTTTAGTAGAATCTAGTTTTGTAGTATATAGTTGTAGTTATGTTCGTAGAATCGGGGGGGGGGGGGGAGTACAAAAGAATCAGCCACATAGCACACAAAATATGAACACAATATGTTTTTCTCATTTTAGTAAATCTCTGACATAATGAGCGTTTTAATTCTCAGAATTCTGACGTGAAAAGTAGAAGAATTATTTGATGAAAATTGGATACGTCTTATTATCACCCCTTTATCACATATCCTGATGAATTCCAGAAGCCATCAATCGGCCTTCTCCTTGCCCCAATTAAAACCAATAAACAGCTCATTGTCAATATGACAATGTAATTATTAGATGCTCATAGCTTGGAGAAAGGGAAGGTGACACTTTCTGTGAAGAGGTGCGGAAAAGACCCTCTGGTTTCGAGTGAAGTACTTATCAAAGCTGGTAAAGGGTTAATGACCTTTTTCACGTGATAAGTAGGAGACAGACCAAATAATTAACCTCTTTGCTGCTTTTCAGCAAGAGGCTGTGCTACACAATCGTTTAAAATAAAAAAAACAGTTCTCTAAATTGAGAATGGTTAGATCTTCATCATGTTCATTATGTCTGTTTCTATTATTTTGTAAACGTTGTGAGAGCATGATAGTATGCATCATTATTCATTCTCTCTGTCTTGTCTCTCTCTGTCCTATCTCTCTCTCTCTCTCTCTCTCTCTCTCTCCCCCTTCTCTCTCTTTCCCCTCTCTACTCCCTCTCTCTTTCACACTCTCTCCTCCCTCTCTCTTTCACCCTCACTCCTCCCTCTCTCTAGCTCTCTGTCTAATCCCCTCCCACTCCCTCTATCTTGTATAATATAGCTCTCTATTTGTGTTCATGTCTAAACCATCAGAGTCTCGATTAAAAGTAATTTATACCAAGCAAATCACATTTACTTTCTTATGTCCTCTACTTCTTGCAGACCTACCACCGTGTGTGAGGGACGCTTAGCCCGTCAAGCCTCACCCAATGGACCCGGTGTCAGTGCCCTGAGAGAAAAATTTGGCGCCAAAGCAACAGGTAAGTTCCATTTAATATTTTTCAAATTCAATTCTGCATGATTATATCCCCAAAGATGAAAGGCATGTAAAATAAATTTACTGTTTTTTTCTTCACGAAAATGTGACAGACGTGTTGTTATAATCGTTATGTTTATTTGTTTAAAATTGCTTCACATATTTGTGGTTGGAAAAATGCATGTGATGGCTTTTGGAGAGTGCTAACACGTGCAAGTTTAGAATATAAACATGTTTGGTTTTGTGTATTACGATATTCATAATATTGATTCTTTACTTATTGCGATAAATGAAAGAAATGAGTAGATATTATGTACTGTATTCAGTAAATCATGCCATACTAATAACAAACTGCACCAGTGCAGTAACATTAATCTTATTGTTAATCTGTCAATTTTCAATGATTTATACCATTAATCATCTGTGAACGCATTTTCCTTGAAATATGGTCCAGTAAAATAACAAACGACCATCAATCAACTAAAAACCGTGTCAGTTTTGTGGTTTTCGCGAGGAAACGCAAATTAAACCATACCGTGGTATGTTTTTTATTCTTCGTTCCCATAACCACAACAAAATTGACAAGGTCATTGTATATTTTCACGGTTTCTGCATCGTTTAAGAACCAAACTAATGATCAACCGAATACCCACACTAATAGAGGTACATGTACTATTGTAATTTGGGCAAACATTAAATATTTAGGATCATAAAAGTCATGGACGAAGGGCTTATCTCAAAACCAGTATTGCGTTTTTGTCGGTTCAGTTCCTATTATGATCCACGCCTGGTAGTCAAATTGTGAAACTTATTTGATCTTTGTATTTGCAATGTATCTATGGATTTGACACCTACAGAGTTTGAACTTTACGGTATCACTCGTATATCATAATGAAGACAGTTTTTAAAGAAACAAGAAGATTATACTGTCATTAAAAAACCCAAAGCAAATCAGCTGTAAAAGAAACAACAAGACAAAACAATAAACACACACAAAACCTAAAAATCAAACCCGATATAATTCTCCCCTTTTCTCTGTCTTTCTTCTTCATTCTTTGTTTTATCTTTCTCGTATACCTGCGTATATTCTACCATGCTTTCTCCATTTCTCCATTTTGTATCTCTCTCTCTCTCTCTCTCTCTCTCTCTCTCTATTTATCTCCCTCCTCCACCCTCTACTTTTTTCTCTTGTTTTCATTCTGTTTCCTTACGATATCCTTCTCTTCATTCGCTCGTTTTCCATTCAATACCAACACTCATATCAAAGATATACCACCGATATTATAGGATAACAAAGCTCTATCCCTTTTATGCAATTAAGTTGCGTACTCACGGTTCAAATCAGATATACGTTTCATAATAACTGATCAAAGAACGATGAAAAGAGAATGGATCGAGTGATAGGTGTGCGTACCTATTTCACGTAGGTGTGCGGGACCACGGTGTTCTTAATGGTGGTTTCGCAACTTTGGTTTCTGCTCATGTTTTGGTATAAATTTACCATGGCAACCAATTTTGCCGTAAATATAGCAATCTTTCTGAAAGTGCGTCGTTGAGTGTGAAAATGTACAGTTTGTAAGTCTCGATTTAGGCTAATGGTATGTGTTCGTCAAAATTAGGACAAACGTATCTTAAGCAAAAAAAAATAGAAGAAGAAGCGTTTAAACTTAAAATACTTTGGTGGATTAATCATTCTAATTCTCAGTGGATTGATCAATCCCATGCATTCAAACACGCATGAGATGGTTTGATCGCAAAGTGGAATTTACATGTGACGAATCCAGCAATAAAATAATACATTATTTTCTTGATTATTTTCTGTATATCAATAACCGTGATTATAAGTACATAAACTATTCAAATATTTCAATCAATAGGTGAACTGTTTTGACTAAACACCCTTATTCAGTGTTCACGAATCGTTAATCTGTGCACTTTCATAGTTCACGAATTACGGTACATTCCGGGTGAAACATTCATAAAGTACAATGAACTTGACCCGCTTCTCTTTGACCCGCTTCTATTTGACCCCATGTGCAGGTACGCCTTGTCGGCCTGTCTCCTACCCAGCCTCACGGCTACAGAACGAGTCACCTACAGCTGAACTTCGTCAACCAGTTCACAGGAAGTCATTCGGCTTCAACAGGTGAGAAAACACTTTTTACTTTCTGATATCATAATTTGTTTTGTGATGACACCCTGGTTGGTATTAGCGCAGTCAGCTGTTTCATGTTGCGGTGAGAGGGGGTCGCTATTGCGAATGTGCCGACAGTTGGTAGAACAGGAATATCATCGCAAATATTGTCTAAACTACAGAATACAGAGAAGAGGGGCCAGTTTCCGAAACATTAAATAGAAAAAAGAATCTACAATAACTGACATAAGCTACTGAAATCGTTGCTTTTAATTAGTAGGGAGCAAATGTTGAATATAGGATAGTTGCAGTTGTTACGAATTGAAGAATTGAAGACGATGAATGCGGATGGCAAGTTTTACGAAGCAGGGCCAGAAATGCAATTTAGTAATGTAATTTGTTTTAATTATAGCGGAAGCAATCGTGATTGATGTCGAAAATTTAAGTAAAGGATAATGTTTGCATGAGTATATTGATGTATTGAGTAGAGACATCATACTGTCCATGTTAGGAGAGAGAGAGAGAGAGAGAGAGAGAGAGAGATACTGCCTTTGTAACAAAATAAAAAAGCAAATGAAATATAAACTGCCAGTTGGCATCCAAATTATAAACATGCACGCATTCATTATGACATAATGAACATGGATCCTTAGGGCTTAACTCCTGAAATAGTCACGAATTATATATCTCTGATAGTTTATGAATCAATTCAAAACCTTGGGGCAATGACAAATACTGATTGATAGAACCAAATGTTTCCAACAGATGCCACATTATAGGTTCGTTTGACACATTATTATAGGTATTACATGCAGGTAATTGTTTAATATAATTATATAACGTGAATTTAATCGGTAGACGTGTTGGGTTCATTTGCGGTAAAGCATACATTATAAGACAATATAAGCATTTAGCGGGATTGCCACTCCAGTCCATACACAGGAGTAGAATAGCAGTCCACAGAAGGTTATCGGTTTCCTTGATTATGATCTATGACATATTGTCGGACTAAATTCAGAAATCAGAAGGTCTATAATAGAATAAAGTATCAAATTATTTTTCAGACCGTAACTGCTTTTACAAAATCAATGTGCAATCTTTTGTAACTTGATGCCCAAAACTAATCACTAAATGCCAGCCTCTTTTTGTTTTCTATTTTCTCTGCCGCCCATTGTTTTCTGCAACATTAACCTATTCTTCGAAGCATTAGTTTACACAAAGAAATTATGTGAATGTAATTATTGTTGATTGTCTAATAATACCACTTAATACCACTTAATCAATGAACAAACTGAGAGAAAAACAAATAAAGAAGCTAAAATAATTAAAACATATGCATCGAACTGAAACGTTAACTTTTGCCAGATAAGGGGTAACCCTTTGTTTTTATCAAATACAATTGTCTGTATCAATGCATACAATCATGTAGGCCTATATGTGCATTTGATTTGTGCTGAATTATAACTGAACAATGAAATTTTAAAAAATGCCTGCATAATCATTTTTATGAAATTGGATTTTTTTCCCCAGTTGCTACTTTTCTGACTGGCCTCTGTACAATCGGGTTCCCTTTCCGCAATTCATTGTTAACTCAAGGATACGGTAGGCTGTACCCCAAATAAATAAACAATTAAAACAGGACATATGTCATTTGCTGCCTGTGAATTGTTGTTTTACTTTCCCTTATTTAATTTTGTTTTTTTCTTCACAATGAAGGCTGGAGGAAACACCGCAAAAACAGACAGGCAAGAACAGAAATGCGGACGGAAACGTAAGCGCTCTAAAACAAAAGTTTGGCGGGACGCATGCAGGTGAGGATTGTTCTCCTATTTCAATGTTTTCCTTTGTTATCACACCGCCCAATATAGCGTCCTATTCTGTCTCTATCTAAGCCATCTACCTGTCGGTCGGCAGGTGTACTTTAAGACCTTATATATCATTTTCATTGACCTGTAGATAAGATACAAGTGTTTTCTTTGGTCGACTAAACACTTTCTACTTATCTTTCTACCTGTCTTTCTACCTGTCTAGACTGCCGGTCATTGTAAAGAAATGTAAGATTGATATGCTCTTATCTGACTTTTGTTACGGCATTTACATGGAATCTTTCTATTACCGACATGGCAAAAAATTAACAATTAAACAAAAAATGATTAAAAATAACGCAAAAAAAGAAGTCATTTAAAAAGTCATAAAAATGATGTACTGTTCAAGTTCATGATTAAGATGTTGAAGTCTTCTTTCCAAAGATTATCGTTTTGTCGTCAGTATACCCGCCCACTTTGAGATCACGTTCTTTGATGGCATATCTTTTTTATTGGCAGCATCTCCGCCGTCACCGACAAGAACACAAAACACATCATTCGTAACACCTACAACAAAGGCAGTAGCAACACCGGCAACAAAGACAGTAGCAACGCCGAGCAAGTTTGGTGCAGTGGCGAACAAGTGGCAACCCAAACAGAGCAGGTCAGTTTACATGAGAGTCGTTAACCCCCGGTCATACTTTGGCGATTTCCAAAAGGGAACCAAAACGATCTATTTGACATTGGGAAGAAAAAAAAAGCTCATTAACTATGATGGTGGTGAGGCTATGCAGATTGGAATATTGCCATAAAACAAAGTAGAAAATTGAATTTTATCTCACAAGGCTGCCTTTATAAAATGTAATCTTTGACATCTCTCATCACTCGGCGTTCATGCTATATTTGCATGTTTTAAATCTTGGAACATTGTAGTGAATCTTAGTCGTCTTTATGTTCATAATGATATACCTAAGCCTTGTAGATGTGACGAATGTTCTTGTTACTAACCTTTCAAATTAACCATGTGCTCAAGATTCCACTATCTTCATCACTATGGCAACAATAAGCTGACGAATTCCCGCCAAAGTGCAGAGTAATGAAGAAAACTGTTAAATCGGGATATACCCTCTAAAGACAAGAAGTCTTTATTTAGCAAAGTTACCTTCATGAATGTTCACGCGGTTAATACAATTACATGAGTGGATTGGGTTTGTACCCACGTATTCATCTACGAGGGGTGAAATACAGAAATACAGAAATATGAAAAGAAAGAATATCCTTTTCTTCTTCAATGTGGTCCGTCCTACGCGATGAAGACGCGGTGGCACATGATCTTATTTTTATACCTGATCTTAACATATCAATATAAGGACCCACGGAGTAAGTGGTGGCTTGTCAAGCGAGACATAATTATTTATAAAATACTGAAATATGGAAGGAGAAAAGTTGCCACCTCATAGCTTATTTTGGGCTACTTGACGGCAATGAATCATTCCACTACGATCTGACGTGCACACTGCGCTGCGACTGTTCAACCAGGGCGCGTACGTGAAACCCGTCAAATGTCGTTCAGAATTAGCAGACGACATGTTGACTGGACGCAAGGCGGGAGAAGAAGTAATTAAGGAGAAAATCGCTAGGGAGTAGCGCTTGGGCTCACATCTTTTAAGCTTTTAATTTTTTTACTTAAGTAAAAGATGGATGAAACGGTGACTCAGAAAACAAAGTATCCTCTCTCAATTACGTGCGTTTAATAGTTTGGTCATGTGGAAGTGTTGACCTGTTCTTAATTTGTGGACAAATTCCGGAATACTTTTTTTCTTCCGCACTTTTTTTAAATAATAATTCTTCTCTTGATGATTAGTCACTGGCCATGCCCAGCTTGGTCAGCATCAGGGGGCGGACTTATGATAGGAGAATTTGGGATATTATTATCATAGGTTGGTCAGAATATATGGCAAAAGGTCCTGTCAGCATTTGGCTCTAGGACCGGTCGTTAAATGCTCGGAGGTCCTGATGGCCGTCAAGGTAGATGTTTATAGTAGGCCGGTCTCGTGGCTGGTCGACCCGAAATTATAGAACCCACACAATCTCTCATTTGCGTTTGTGTGTATGACCACCAAACCTTAATTGCAGAATGCAAGGCGGCATGCGACTTTGGGAAAATTGCATCTTACCTCCAGATCTGGAAGGATGGTATAGTTTTCTCGATCCAGACACGAATCGGGTTGGGATAGAAAGTTATCTGGTAGTCCATGATCCGTCCTGACTACCTTCATAAGAACTGTCACCAGGATGTCATTATAACTCTGTGGTTCCGCTCTAAACTTTCCCTAACCCCTCTGATCGATCGGTGCTGGTAATCCTAAAAATGGGTGCGGGGAGCCCTTCAAAAGGGGTACATAACACGTCATCACCAATTTGGAAACATCCGAAAATGTTTTCATCACATGTCAATCTCACGTTCAAGGGCGGGTGTCTTGGAAGACAAATTGACCTGTTCTGCTATAGGTGGTGTTATGTTGTCGCTTTGTTTCTGAGGTAACACCGATATGGAAAACCACGAGGAAATCTCTTATTTTGTCATGCATGGATGATCAAAACTGGGACATCCCAGTTACTAATCTATCAACATATGGATTTAGTTAGCATAGCAACCACTATACCACAAAACCAAAGAACCCATCTATCTAATCATCATTGTTCAAAATATTACATTATTGAGATCATCTTCATGCCAATCCACACGTGCTATCAAAATGAAATGGAAAATGTTTTGATGAGGACGAATGACACTAATTAAAATATAAAAACATTTCTTTGAATGTAGGATTAATCGTAATTATATCTTGTGGTTTTCGGTTACAGCGTCGTTAAACGGAGGTCAAGTACATGCTAATTCCTATATGTAGATCATGACATGTTGCTCTATAGCTATTTTGATATCGAATACGGTTTTCTCCTGACCTTAGTAACCAAATTTAATGTGACATTTGTTTTTTACCGCTAAGAAATGAGTTTCCTGTTCCTATAGATTCCTATCCATCCAATCAATCAATTCCCATATTAGAAAACCAATTTTAAAGTCGAAATATCGTTCTATAAATGACTAAACATATTGTATGTGATTATTCCTTTCATAAATTGTAGTACACCTAGCGATACGAAGACGACATCGAGGAACCACAACGACCACGCAGTCACACCGACGACGACTACGACTACGACCACCACCGGTATCAGTGCTCTCAGAAATAGATTCAATAGTAACTCTGATGGTGAGTGTGTGTGGATGCATGTTTCGCAAGAGTTGCTTGAATGAAAAACAGGGTGCAGGAAATGATTTCAAATCAATAAATGGTCAATAAAGAATTAACAAAGACAGGTCCTTAAACTTATAATTTTACGATATAAGAAGTAAGAATGTTCTTAAATAATGATATTGATTTTAGAATGGTTGCCTCCTTAGCTTCGCTTATATTCTGGACCTTATAATATGCTTTTTCATGAAGCTTAAATTTGAAAAGTGAAACAATAATTGATGATATAAATAACATTTCTGTTATAGTCAACGCACACCCCCTCTACCCCGAAAGCATACGAATCTTGAGTTTCCATGTTTGTGATATTTGTGACTTGCAAGCTAAAACATTTTAAATTCTGTTGATCATTATTCAACCGTGGTATGAAAAGAGAAACTATCTAATCATCGCTTAACACATGCGTGATTAGCTCATTAAACATGATACAGGCATGGGCTTTTAACTTTGCTAACCCAACAAGTACAATGTATGACAATGTATGCAGAATGTAGTCTTTAATGTAGTCTTCCGTCATATTAGTGATGATGGAATTTCATGGGAAGCTGATGGTTAAGAGATTATTGATGCTGTTGCATAAATTCCCTCCTACTAATTAGGAAAATGTGAAGTCATATCATTGGAGTTCGTAGTAGATTGACGGAGTGGTTTAATTACGATGCATTAAGTAATTTGTGTTTATTACTTGACTTGATTACAGACGCAACGAGTGTCAAACCAGCTGGTCAGACGAACATCACTCCTGATAAGAAGAGAAAGAAAGCTGATGATGAGAAGAGGTGAGATAATTATGAGTGACGTGACCTCTGTATCTATGTAGGAAGAAGAATGAGAAGAGAGTGAGAGAAAGAGAGAGAGAGAGAGAGAGAGAATGAGAGAGAGGAGAGAGAGAGGAGAACGAACAAGAAAGATGACGAAGAGTAAGAAGGTAAAGAAAGGGAGAGAAGAAGTAAGATGAAGAAAAATGAAGGAGAAAGATTAAAACAAGAAGTCCAAGGCAAAGAAGACAAAGAAGAAGAAGGAGGAGGAGGAGGAGGAGGAGGAGGAATAGAAAAAAGAAGGCGAAGAGCAAGAATAATAATGATGAAGACGTCAGGGAGAAACGGAAAACAATTAGTAGATAACTGAAAATCGGAGGAAATAGCAGGAAGGAAATTCTTTGACAAATTATTTCCCATTGTTTATTCTAATGGTGACGTTTGTGAAGGTGGTATCATGTTTTTAACATATTTTTCTTCTGAATTTTTTCAGAGCTGAAGAACAAATTGAAAAGGAAAACGAGAAGAACCGATCACCTCGCAAACATTGGCGTAACTGGTCTCCTAAGAAAGAACAAAACACCCCCATCAGAGAGGCATCACCTACCAAAGAAACATCCCCCAGGAAACGAAAGAGCGTCTTTAACAATATCACAAGATGTAAGTAATCAAATATGGTGAAGGTTTATTTATACATTTTTGTTGTTGAAAGCTAAGAGCTACATATTTTCTGATTAAATGTTTCGTTCCTATAAGTCTATCCCTAAGTGTGTGGCGCACCATCCAGGCAATGCGTCAGTCCTGTTTTGATTGACTCTCAGCAACTCGGCTACAGTAGGCAAAGAATTTCATTTACAGTCTTGTGGGCTGGAACATCCTTATCAACACCTTTATCAGTACTCTAAATGCATTCCCGATTTTTTTTAAATTTTAGCTTTGTAATGCCTTGTAATGATATTAACAATTATATTTAATGTGAAGAAAGAGGTTATTATTTTAACAAGGTATTTTTTCTTGTCTTTTTCTTTGAACAGCCAAGTCAAAGCACGACAATAAAGACGAGGTAGAGGAATCGCCGCTTATTACTACAAGGTAAGTTTGCTTTGATCATTTTCCAAATTTTCACTATATGAAAGGAGTGATATCTTGAATTAATTGTTAAAATCAGTGGCGTAGATAAACTTCCACGATCTTGAAACTGGGTCAGGGATAATGAATAGATCACACCCTCACAACAAAAGATCTTTATCCGTGTTTCAGCCGCTTGTTAAAATATATTTAATTTAATTTCTTGTCAGATTCTTTCTCTTCAGAAAGAGAAGATTGGAAGAAATTTTGCTAAGTGCCAAAAGAAAAGTCAAACCATTCTTTTCCATCTTGTTTCTCTTCAGTAGCGTAGATAAGTTTTAAGGACCTGTCTTCGTTCATTCTTTAATGACCTTTCCATATTATTTCTGTTCAGGATTGTGGATAATAAAGCTGAGGAAGCTGAAAAGGAAAGAGCAAGACAGCTGATTTCGAATCGAACCAGTGCACTCATCTATGGCGTCAAACCTACACCACAGACAATAAGTAAGTTGATAACACAGTTTTCTTTTCGCTAGAAGCAACCCTCTTTGGTTCAAAATCACCTGAAATCGACTTTCTAGGTCACAAGAATCACAAACAGCAGATGCAATTTTGTCGTAGAAGTGTTTGTTGCAAATCGATAACAACAAAATGATATTGATACATTTAAAGGAGTGTAAAATGTAAGAACTGACCATCAGAAAATGTTTACATTCATCTTTGTATACCGATCCACGTAGAAGTTACTACCTAACAATTGAAATTATGAAGTTTCTATTTTTAACCAAAATCTTGATCTGCAACTATTTTTTTGAACAGCGCCATCTAGAGTACAGTTTGAGGAGTCAGTACCGAAGAGAACGAGAAGAGATGACAGTCCCAAGGAGCGACCCAAGACAGAATATAACTTCCAGAATGTATCTCCACCAAGGTAAACTATCCGATGATGTTTATAAAAAGATATTCATTTTTTTCTCTTTTCGATTATGGAAGTGAGGGTTTCATGGTTATATATATTTATTGTACTGTTTATATACCCATCATGATAATAGTTTTGGGGACATATAATTTTGAAAGATTGGTACCGTGTTCACAAAAAGTCTCCCATTATTAACATGTCCTTTGGATGGAAGGCAAATGCATGAGTGAACATTTTCTTAATAATCTACAATTTCCATATTTTAACAACATTGCTCCTTTATGCTGCTGTTCGTAACAGTTATGTAGTTATTTCGCGTCCTGGCACACACTGAAAATGGAAAATGAAATGTACATTTTACTACTGAATAGATGTAATGAAATACGATTAAGGTGAATGTTGAAAAGTTATATTTTATTTTGAAATGATGAAAACAAATTTATTAAATCTTCTCTCTCTCTCTCTTTAGACCAAAATCGATGGCTGATACGAACCAGCTTTTCTCATCCCCTGGTAACATTAGCAACATGACACCTGTTAAAGGAACCAACATCATCAAGAATCCTACTACCAAAACTCAGAGACTACTTCAATGGTGTCAAATACACACGCAGGGATATGATGTAAGTTGAATTTAGGAGCACATTCATCTCCATAATAATCATCCGTGTTCATAATGATTTCATATGATTTTCCTTTTGACTGATTACATGTATTTCAATTAGGGACAATCTTTCGATATCATCTTCAGTCACAACTACCATCTCACTATACCACCACCATCATCTTCATCACCGCCATCATCATCACCACCGCCATCATCATCACCACCGTCATCATCATCATCATCGTCGTTATCACTATTAACTCCATCATAACATCAATTATCATGAACATCACCATCATGGTCATCATCATCATCGTCGTCATCATCATCGTCGTCGTCGTCGTCATCGTCGTCGTCGTCATCATCATCATCATCATCATCATCACCAACACTACCATCTTCTTCTTTATAATTCCAAATACATCCCGATTGTCATTATCATCATGATGATCATCCAACATCATGGTTTTCAGCATCATCACCACCACCACCACTACTACTACCACTAACATCACTCCCATTGAAACGAATCAGGTCAAACTAAAAGCATGTAAGTTGTTTTTAGAAATGATGATTATGGAAGAGTGTTAATATTTGGTAAAATGTTCTAACATTGTGAAAACTTTCATTTTGTTTCTAGGGAGTTTGCGTGTCGAACTTTCATTCGTCGTGGGCTGATGGTCTAGCTTTCTGTGCCTTAGTAAACAAGTTCGTCCCCAACGCCTTCGATTTCAACACACTCAATAGCAACAACAGGAGTCACAACTTCGATCTCGCATTTTCATCAGCCGAGTAAGTAGAGATTTGTACATATTTAGAATGTTTTGGAACGTGATCATAGCCCTGTATATGTAGCGAATTGTCAGAATTATATTGATAAAAGTGATAGAGAAAACGCTGCAAGGGTTGGGGAAGGTATACTTCTTCTTTAGCAAAGTCTCTTGAATATATTGCAATTAGTTTATTTTGTCTAATTTTGAGTGTTAAGCATATCATCGGTTTAATTCGTTTACCTCAGAACGGGCCAATGTGTGTGTGTATTGTTTTTTTGAAGATGTAAAATCGTGGTCTCAGGTGTTTAAAAGTCCTCATACCTGTAATGACACTTTCGGACTTGTAACGTCTATAAAACATCAGGATCTCAAAGCATATAGAGGTTGTCTACTCGAACGATGTTTGATTTGATGTCCGTATAGGATCTTGTTTAAGTGACACTCGTAAAATGATTTACTAATTTCATTCCATTTTGTTTCCTTACCGTTTCAGGAAATACGCCAACGTACCCCGTCTTCTCGACACCAAAGACATGATTGAGATGGGCGATAAACCAGATTGGAAATGCGTTTTTACCTATATGACGTCACTTTACGCTGGACTCAACAAACTCGCCAATTGAGAAGATAACACGTACTTGACTGTTAAAAACTCTAAATCTGCATTGTGATGACATGGAGATGAGATTCCTATGGCCACCACGGCGGCGTAAAATGGTAGATTCCAGAGGAAAGATAATTTTTTTGTCCAGGGATCGAGGATCTAATCCTATGATGTTTGAAATGCGTTCAACTATCCCCTGCCAACGCATACTATGTCTTGTCGAAGCACTTAAAAGAAGTTACTCTTTTCCACGCCAACGGGTCACCTGACGAAATAGGCCTACATAAATGCATATTAGCCTTAATACCAGAAGAAATACTCGTAGTGCTTTATATCAAACACATAATAATCCACGTTCCTTATAGAGCATACATTTAACGAAACAATGGCTTGAATTGAAAAAAATATTTATGAATTTCCGATAACTTGGCATACCGTTGGACCGTAGAGATTTACAGTGTCAGCAATGGTGTAAAAGACCGAACTAAAAGGCCCCTACTGCTTGGTATAGTTGATGTACATCTCAATGAGTTTAAGGATAGGATTTCTTCCTAGATCGGAGAAATGTCAGGATTTCTTGTTTATTGGAAAATATTAGAAAGAGTTGAAACGTTACACCGAGATTAGTAAACATATTCTTGAATTTAAAAGTCTATTAATTAAAAAAAAAAAATTGTTTTATTAGAGAGAGAGAGTGAGAGAGAGAGAGAGAGAGAGAGAGAGAGTTAAAGGGCTCGGGAAAGGTTTTTAAGTTGGGGTTGAACTTAAGAATAATTGCGATCCATTCTTATCAATTATTTTAGCAGTGTTTTATATTTCTTTTACACAAAATATATTGAAAATTGTATGGACTACATTAATATGTGATAGATATCTTTATGAATGTGTAATGTGTGCTATTTTACAATTTTTTATCAAAATAATTTTTAAAATATTGTTTTATTTAAACAACTTTTATGCCTTATTCTTTATATATCTTTTCCTTTGCATGCATACGATATAGCGCGGAAAGAAATATTTGTATATACTGTGTAATTTGAAAAAAGAGAAACATTCCGTGTAAATAATGATTGCCTAACTGTACTCATTTCACTGTAATGAAATATATGTTAAAAAAAAATAGGCAAGGCAATGATCGAGCAGAGACAAAGGATAGCAAGAAAAGCAAATCTAGTACAACATCACTTTGATATCACTTGCATTTCTTTTTTATTCAAAAATTCACATTCTACCTTTTATCTTTGAAGTAATGCTTGTCTTCTTTTTACAAGTTGTTTATTTTTCATACTATATATTTTTAAATTTTTTTAATGAAAAAGTGCAATTCATTAAGTGCTGTAATTTTGTTCACAAGAATAATATTTTTTTCACAACTCCACTAGTCATGTGTATAATCATTGTAATTTGCAATGCTACACTATATTGTGTGTACATGTCAATTCGAGCAATAATTTCAAGTGGGCACATTTCAAACTTATCTTTTGTGAATGTGTGGCACTTTTGAAAGGGTATTTAATTGATTTAAAAAAAGACAGTTTTATAGGTTTAAACATGGTATTTATAGCTGCATAAGAACAAGTCTAGAAACAGTACATTTCAGTTCATTTCACCATTACGTTTTATCATAGTATTTCAGTTTTTTAAGCATTTTAGAAACAGTATAGTATATAAAATACTACTTTCAAGCAATAATATACTGCTGGCCAGTAAAATAGAATGAAACTTTATAAATGTGGTGTATACATTTTTATGTCCTGCCGTAGATGGGGTTTTGCCAGAACCACAAATTGTATAAAAATATGTGCTAACTGAGAAAAGAATGGGATTATAAAGATGTATCAATTATTGTAGAAGAAATAATCCTTTTCAATTGTATTGCGAATGGGAAGAGATGGATGTCAAGATGATGTTATCGATGAACTGTATTACTTGAAATTTTCTTAATAAATGTTTCAAAAAATTACTCAATTTGTGTATGCTTTTTTCTTCTTGTTGTGAGGATGTTTGTATACAGGGGAGTATCTGGGGCCCGTTTCTCTAAACTGTCATAAGTCTAACTTCTTGAATAAATCAGCGTTAGTAAGCTACTTGTCCGCCACGTGTTTCACGAATCCCTCTTTGCCAAGATCAACGAAAACATCCTGACTAAGAAGTTATGACACCTCCGACACCGTCATAACGTTTTAGTCCATGGGCAGCGCCATCACATGTTATTTATAGAGTAAACTGTGGCTGGCAAAAAAAAGACAAGTAACCCACTAGCTATGATCTGTTCACTCAAACAGAGTTATCCTTTTTTTATATTTGAAAATCTTATGTTTATATCTAAAGCTTTTTCTACTTTGATTATACGCGTTTATTTCCACTTATAAAATCCTCGAAGGAATAATTAATCTGCCACGGCAGGCAAGCCATAGTTAGAAGTGTATTATCTAGTTTTCATACCCATATTAATTTCTAAATAAATTCATCTTCAAATGTGTAAACTGAATGGTTTAAACATCTGTTTTAACGTTTGGAATGTTTCTTCATATTAATATTGTTCTGAAGCCTAAAACGTTGGACAAAAACTGTCATAACATCGTAGTTACACTAAGAATATTATAAGGGTGTATTAAAAAAAAACTATCAAATGAAAGTATCGGGGGGGGGGGGGTACCCATCTAATATAAAACACTGATTCACCGGTCATTAAATGAAATACTCAGTTATATCTTACAAGTAGTTTTATGTCATAATCTAACCACACATAATTTATTCCCTGATACTACAATGCATTTTCAACCTTTTTTTATGTTCCTAATTCAACTAAATAATTGCAGTTTTCCTAAAATTACGTTTTTTTTTTAATTCGGTGGAAATGCGACTTAGGCTATGTCTTGGCTCCTCTTCTCGTTGATAGTATTGATTTCACGAGATACTAGCAAGTAAGCTCTTCGTGTAACGAATAAGGAAGACCAGAGACATCTTCGTAGTTGGCGGACAAAGTTATGACTGTCTTGCCGTTGGTTTCGAGAAACGGGCCCCTGGTGGATAGGGAGGAGTAAAGGGGTAATCTGAAACAGTTTAGAGACTATCTCCAGATTTTCTTATAATAATCCCATTTGATTCGTCACAGTTGTCAGTAAAGTTCAATAACTAGTGAACTTTTTGGGGGGTGGGTGCCATCGTTTACAGCCCCACACCGACACCGTTTCATTACAAAGCGAATATATGATTTAGTTTTAATGTTGACTACATAGAGAAAAAATACAAACTATTTCGGATCATGTAGAAACGAGATACATAATGCTTTTTTGCACTTAGCTTTAAATAAATGCAACTTTCACAACACAATAATATTTACTGGTTAAAAAACAGAGACAACCACTCAGACAAACGCGTGAAAAAGTTGGGCAGTGAAGAAAGACGAAAAGTAATATATCTACAAAGTCTCACATTGGGAGGGGCGAGGGAACCTGCCACCCCTTATACCACCCAAAGAGCGGTAAGTCCCAATATGGATTCTTCATCCTAATATCAACGAGAGGCAAACAAGGTTTTAACTTTAAAAGCCTACTTCCAAGGTATATTTCCAAGTTATATAAGAAATGACACGTGTAAATGAATAGCAACTAAGCGCAACAAAGGTCTAACGTATATTTACTTAGGATGGTGTGATACAGAAGTGTGAAGCGTATTACAAATTACGTCATCATTAAAAGACAGCCGCGGTTTGCCGCTTCATATCTATAACAATAATAATAATTATAATATATTTCATTTATAAAGCACTTGCTACAATGTTTCTAAGCCCTTAACAAAAATATAATCATAACAAGGCTTAACGACTGTCATTACTGCGGATAGAGCTGTCAAGCATAAGTTCAAGTGTAGCCGTGGTTCGAAGCTTCCTCGGTATCTTGTACTGGTTTGCAGTCGTTGTACTGTTATCCAGGATGAAATCATGCAGACGATCAAATGTGCCGGGTTTCACGATGTGCACCAAAGGAGGGGCAATGCTTCCCTTCTCACGGAATGAGTTGTATGAGAAGGAATGCTGACAGAGCTCTTCATCAACCTGACAAAGATAGGATATTGATTTTAGTTGATTGCTATTCTATTTCACATGTATATAGATAAAGAAATGATTTGAAAGAAAAATGGTCTAGCGACGCCCTTGAAAACCAGTGAAGTATAAGGGGCGTTTTACCTATTTTCCCTGTTCTTTCAATTTCTCATGTAGGTGCCTCCTGTATAACTAATAATATAATAAGTCATTGAATGAATCTAGTGACCGGGGTGTAATAGCATTGGTAGTGCTTTGGTAGCTAAAGCTAAAGAATAAGAAAACAGTTATTATTAACAAGTAATAGCAGCAACAAAAAGGCCTAGTATTATTAAAAGTAGAAGCCTATCTTTTATTTGTTATTGCACTTGACTTTAACCTTTAATGAAAACTTATTCCCTATTTTCTAGAGACGTAAATCTCATTCAAAGAGTCTTACCTTCTCGAGGGAGATGTTGTTCATATCATCGGGAGCCTTGTCAAGTTCCAGGAACACTAAGTAGTACGGACAAGGGTCGGCTTCCCCCATCACTATAAAGTAATCCAAAGATGAGATGTGACGTCATTTGATATTGTCATTAAATGTATTGACTCAGTTAATTCACGGCTGTCATTTTAGGTCACAGGGAAAATTGACAACATTACTGCTAATCCCCTACCACCCTCCCAATAAGTAAGGACGGGCCTAACTTATCGAAGGTCTATTTTGTTGTATGTGTATTTGAGATATTAGGGACTAAGGACTTTCATTTGAAAAGTATGTCATCACCTGTGATTTAGAAAAGTGGGGGCATAGGGGGCATCTGGGATTTAACTCAGATGATAAAAACGATAATCACGTGAACATTAAGTCAATTTACGGAGTGTATATGCTTTCATTTTGTTTCTATATATATATACTGCCAAGAAATACGCACTTGTATCAGATTGACCTTACTTGTTTATAGCAAATGTAATGAATGCAATAACGTGAGACGTATATAGGGCCAGTTACCATAGGACCGAAGAGTCACCTTTCTGATGTGATATACGACTTACCAAGCTCATCTAGAAGCATGCTCTCTGCTACAGCGTATTCCTCTAGCTTCACGTTTGACCAGTGACCTAGAGCAGCTTCGATGGCGCTCTTCACCGTACCTTGGTCAAGCTTCTCGGAGTGGACATTAAGGATCTGACCTGATCTGTAATGTGTGTATAAAACAGGGTCTTCTTTAGTGAATATCGTATAGGCCTATACGAATATTTACATTCGTTATGTATAATATTTTGGAGCGAGTCGAAGAAAGTTAGACAGGTGGTGCGAAATAAAAAGCCGTCGACGGTACCTGCCACCGTCGTGGAAATTGTGAAAATAAAACTGAGTCAGTAAAAGTGTATTGTATGATGAGAGTAATTTTTTTATTTTTATAGATTTTAATTAGTAGATTATTTTTCTTTACACTATAGTGGTAAATTTGTGGACGAACAAATTAACACAGAAGTTGATTCCAGATTTCGGTCTGTTTTTCGAATTCGTAGGCCGTTATACTTACCGGTACATAAATTCAACTACGGGTGTATTGAAGTGATATCGCTTAACCTTGATGACGTCACCATATCTAAACCGATAGATACCGAATATCTGTGTGATGACGATCTCGTACACGCCTCCGACTTCGAGTTCGTCCATGAGAAGTGTCTCCGGCTGATCTTCATCTCTAGAAATAGAATTACAAACCATCGTCTTCTATGCTCAGAACCTTCTCTTTTTAAACTCGGTTTCATAATGAAGAATCTTCTTATTTATGTTTCCTCGGATGAATACTTACTAGTGACGCATCTTTCTTCTCTTCTTTAGTTGTTTTCTGTTCTTTTTGTTACAACGCCCGACGAATGTTCCCATAAATGATTTATATAAAACTGTAACTTTTCGGGCAAAGTTCTCTCCAGCGTTTGTGTCTGTTTGTCATCTTGCGGACACTATTACTCTGGATTAGTTTGCTTCACAGCCTTAAAAAGAAAGGTATATGTAAGGTAACATAAATTATCAATTCGAATTCGTACGACAGCGTACACCCCTCTCGTTTTAAAGCCCAGACAATTGCGAATAAGTCTATAGCAAGAGGGACTTCCCGACATTATCCTCCCTCCCACGTAAAGGGAAGATCCCAGCAAAACACAAGACGTGGGCAAAACGTCATTAAGGCGTAACACGTTTACAAGACGTTCATTTACGTCCTACGAGTGTTTGGTGTTATCTGAATGGGATTCTGCCTCCACCCATTCCAGCCCCATAACGCTATTTACAAACTCATCGTCACTTACATATTCTCTTCTGGGATGAATTCCAGGACGCAGACGTTTGGCATGAGAACGAATTCATCCTTACCCTGATTATGCAGCCATAGGTTAATACCAAGGATACCTTCAGTGGCTACTAGGGAATGACCGAAAAGTGGTAAACCTGATCAAAAGAGAGAGAGAAAGAGAGATGGAGACAAATAGAGAGGAGAGAGAGAGAGAGAGAATTGGGGGGGGGGGGGTGGGGAGACGGGGAAAGGGGGTAAATTAATGCAGAATAATATCTATACATAGACAATTTTCTAGTCGATTCGAATGGTACAAAGCAGCAAAATATTCTTGTTCGATGTCACAATGGCATGACTGAATGAAGAATGAATTTCTTGGGAGCCATTTATGACTATAAAACTGGATTTAAGATCATTGTTCATTTCATCTTTATAGTCACTGGTCTGACCTCTTCCGACCGGTAGTGCAGCAGATTACTAAAGACCATCTTTTGTTGAATGGGCTATACCCTGGTGAAACATAGTGATAATAATAATAAAAATAGTAATAATAATAATATTCTTTTAGTCCACTCCAAATTTTATTAAACCGAAAATGGAAATTCTTTTTGCCCAATTGATCGTGGGCCCGGCAGCGAAATTTTTATTCCCAAACAGGTTTGCAATTTCTTATATTTCCGTTCTTCTCAAGGCTGATATGTTCTACGTCATTAGCAGCTTGGAAGAGGTCACAAACAATTAGACTTTGATTTTTTATTGCTTTGCCTCACTATTTATAAAGGCAAAAAAACTGAATAAACTGAGACTTGAACCCACAACTATGCGATTGTATTACGCTGACCTTACCGATTGAGCCAACGATGGGTTGATGAAAGGTGATTCTGCATGATTTCTATAACCCTATCACTCACCCTAACGGTTACGTCATTGCTAATGAAGTAACATATCAGCCAATCAGATGACCGGAAATACTAGCATTGGCAAACCTGTTTGCGAAAAAAAAATTAGCAGCCCGGCAGCCACTGAGCAGCGCCAGATCGACGTTGCAGCAACTCCCGTCTTTTAACGTCTTTTGGTATGACGCGGCCGGGGTTCGAACCCACGACCTCCCGGTTGTGAGGCGGACGCTCTACTGACTGAACCATGGTTGACTACTCCGTATTTTGTGACCTAGTCATTATAGTTATCAAACATTAATTTCTGCTTAACAAAACAGTATTTGAATTCTTGCAGTCAGGTTGGAAATTGTCCTGACAATTTTTCCAACAATCATTGTTGAAAATCGACATGCTATAAAAAAATAGCCCCCAAAATGCAAAGAATAAGTGCAGACACAACTTTGCCTACCTTTTACATATGATTTCAGGAGCATCTCTTTTACGCCAGTAGGATCGATTGCTTGTACGTGTGTCATGTATGGCCAAACCCTTTTCAGTATGCCCTCAAAGCCCTTCTCGAATTCCTTCTTCAGCTCCGCAGCTCGCTCCGGATCACCACCATCCATCGCTCTCACGAGGGCTTGGTGAATCTGTGGTGACACCTTTGTAGTCGTGACCGTCCCGATCTCGGTGTCGCGAACGATATCGGGCCAGCGTTGTTCAACCATTCGCATTGCGGATATCAGCGCGGGTGTGAAGTTGCAGTTTAGAGAGCGGAGGTTTCTGTCCCGGAGTCCAAACAGGAGATGCACGTAAATGGAGTCGATAGGATCTTCTATCTGGAAGGCATCTGCTGGAGACGAATAGATCACCAGAATAACTTTCATGGATGGCGGAATCATGGACGCAGGTCCCATCAGAATACCAGCCTCGGTATATCTCAGCTTTGGCGCCGTGTACAAGGTGGTTTCTCGCTGTAGAAAATTACCCATACCGAACGCGTTAACCCGAAGCTCAATGCTTAACGCAATGAGTTGAGAGTAAATGGTCATTAAAGATTTACCGTATGGTATCATCTTGGACTTCCCGGTGGTGCCTGAAGTGAGAGCCAACCTCTCAGTGCGTTCACCCGTCAAGACATTGCGCTCACCTTTCGCCATACGATCAACGTACGGCCTGTAACGTTCGTAAGTCGTCAATGGATGCTGCTTCTTCAAGTCCGTCAATGACGTCACTGACGCGAGTCCGAAATCTCTCGCGTAGTCTGTGTTCAGGTTTGCCTTGAGGATAGTTTTCAAGTAGTCTTCCTGAGCTTTTCGGGGGTCCTTCCAAGCAGCTTTGCACCTCTTGACCTTTGGATAGCGGGTGAAGACCATCAGCATCATGAGGAGGAAATGGGAGTAGACTGAAATGAGACCATGTCCGTACGATATCCGCTGCAACGTCATCCATACTGACACAGTAGAGATCAGTACGCTGATTATCCCGGCACATCCTGGAAGGAATACCATAACAAAAGATATACAAGTCTGACATCCTAATAAATAGAAGAAGAAAAAAAAAATCGACAGATATTTATATGGAAGGGAATTTGCAAGAGAATACTTAAAGAAAACGACTGCTTTATTAGTTGCGCTAATGAAGGTTATTGCCCCATATATGCTAATGATTTACCGCAATGGGCGCAAGGTTTATTTTTACAATTATTTTTGGACGATGTCAAACTCATATGTTGCGTCAAAGAGCCGCACAAGGCCCTGACGCTCTCATACGTCAGACAAATTACGCCTCACGTGCAACGGGCGAAGTAAAACAAGATAACGTTCACTAAATTGACGTAACTATTTTAGCAGCATTTTCATAGCTTGTGTACATCTCCTCGTTGGCGATTTTCAACAAGTTTTTAGTATTATATCTACTTTGTTGGGTGTCCTAAATAAAATTTAACATATGAAAATTACCTCGGAATCATCTTTGAAAGCATTTATATGAAATGAAACTTCATTTTGATAACTCGTTTAAAACTATTTTAATGCCAAATGTGTGTAGCTAGTCTACAAATTCTTCAGTGTATTTCTTGAAGGTGATTTTCATGCATTATTAGGAAACGTTTCTTTACAATTTAATCTTTTATAAAGCAACTGCCCTTCCCAGAACTCAACTTTCTCTTTCATAATTCATGGTTGCAGCTAACAATTATTGTCGAACCTCAGTCACACAAATGAGACCAACAACAAACCGACAACTGACTGAACGGAAAATTGCATTACCCGGAATGGCGAAGAGTCTGTCGGATTAGAGTCTGTATGGAGTCTGGTATGGACCTATAGGTCCACGGTTAGGGGGTATGCCTCGGGTATAACACTATATAGAAACTTTATGTACATATGGAACTTATTGCCTTTGACCTTTTGACCTCACGTCCTACGTACGTCGTGAGTACACATGACCGCATTGTTTACATTGATCTCTGTACCCACCCATGCACTCATTATATTCATAAAGCATTTATATCTGTATCATGGTTAATATTACAATGGCTATACAATGGTACTATATAGTGTACTTTTTTTCACATGGCATGATCGTGCACAAGGGGCGATCGTGTACTGCGATTCATTTATACATGCTCATTGATAGTGTACTAATTTTACTATATAATTATGATTCATTTTTTTGAATAAACATAGAAGGGATTTTTTTGTAGCTAATATTTTGGGCTGGATGGCAGTAAAAGGCGGGGGTTTCATTTCAGCGCAAGTTCGTTCTAAATGTAATACCCTATGATATGCTTAGACCAGTTTGTCAGAGTATATTCATGCCTTTACTGTGGAAACAAGTATTAAAAACATGCACTACAAGCAAGATTGTGCGAGTCCGAAAGTATGAGATAAAACATCGGACGTTATACAGCAGTGTAACATCCACACAAGGCTGACTACTACTGTGTCATTGTTTGGTGCAGTCTTTGACGCTTGATGCGAGCGTGAAATCGCATAAGAAATCTACCTCAAAGGTAACCCCAACAGTCCGATATTGCATATAGGTATTGCGTATAGGTTCGTTTTCTGCACAAGCTTGATGAGCGCAGGTATCCTAAAACACCGCGTCACATGCGTGTAATGGGCTTTAATTAACAACGTCAGTATAATAAAGTGTGTTCTCTACCTACCAGCTAGGATGCGTTGCCATGACTTCTCGTGAACGTTAGAAGCAAACTGGAGTAAGATGACCCCCAGAGCAATCGTCATGAAAGCCACTGATACAAGCTTTACCCTCACCAGGCTAGATCCCGCCATATTGTTTGGCTATTTTCTGTCGCTCAAGGCTGATTTGACGTGAGTGGCCGGATACAAACAAAATGCGACGTTTGCATACAATTGAGAATTTAGTAGAGAGCTTATGAAAACAGCAATACATTGTCAAGAATCAGAGTGCATTGATATATATTCTTCTTTGGTCTTTGCTAGGACTCAAGGACAGACAACTTAGAACTGCTGAATACAGTCTTGACAAAGTACAGGCAAACCCTATTATCCTGAAACTGTGTAAAATGAAATCGAGAGACCGGACTACATTGAATTCTCTAGCTGAATCGGGGGGGGGGGGGGGGGGGGGCAAGCGTGACAATTCTGTGGTGACGGTAAATGAATGAAGAAAGGATTTTTTAAAAATCTATCGTTGCAGTCTTATAACTGAATTTCCATTGGAATACAAATGAAAAGTACATGTATTTGTAAGTTAAAAGTACAATAGTCTTAGAACTATATAATGTTCACGTAAAAATATCTTATTAGAACTCTATATAAAAATTCATGGAGTATTGAAAACAAGAAGGGAAGAGTGAGAAATAGGAGAAAGGAGCAAGAATCAACAACAGTATTGTAGCTTGATTTGATTTGATTTGATTTGATTTATTTACCAACAGCAATACAGTAATACATTTCATACAATGCGTTACATAATATAAGAAGAGACACTTCTCCATCTGATTAAGTTCAAACATAGTACAATTGTGAAATTAATTATGATCAAAGATATCAGTCGTGCTAAACGTACAGTAAATTATAAAGACTCGAGACTAGCAAATAGAAAGACCCGAAATAGGCGGAGGAGGAAATACGGAAAAGATTAAAGATTAAAGCGTTAAGGGGCATTTCTGTAGCTCACATAATTGGTCGGTGAGAATTATGAGCCCTTTTCTGGATCATAGATTATGTCATTGCTTTGTTGCACGGTGATACCAGAGTGCCACAGAGGTACGAACTACTCCAATATACTGTCAACAAATCTTTCCTTGACGCTTTCTTGATGATTTCATTCACATGACTATTCCACGGGAGGTTAGCCTGGATAACAGCCCCAAGCAATTTCAACTCCTTGACTTCTTCAAGAACAATGTTACACAGCTCAATGCGTGGAGGGTGGATGACCGCTCTTGAAAATGATACTTGCATCACTTTGCACTTTGCTGGATTTACTCGTAGTTGAGTGATGTCACAAGACAATTGGAATGCATAAAATAATGAATAAATAAACCAATAACAAACGCCCAACTTCATACCCCCTCCGAGAACTCGTTGTGGTGGAGCATTTAGGATCAAGATAAATATGGAGGCCAAACAACAATTTGCATTTATTAAAATGTTATTATTTATTGTCATAATCATAGGCTACAGTGAATCAAAAACTGAAAGGGTTAATGTTTCAAGGCTATCACTTTTGCAATTAACCGCAAGTTAACATACATGATCAGCTCACTTTAATAATGATGATGTTAATAATAATAATCATAATGATGATAATAACAAAAATTATATTTGTAGGCGCTAATTTACATGGAAACTAACCCGGGCTGCCATGCTTCGTATCAGAGTCAAATTCAAATCACGCATCGCGCATCTTATTCAATCACGGTCATCACGATGTTAATTTAGTTCAATGGCCTTTATTAATTGATTCACAGTGAAGAATTGATGTACAAACTTTGCTTTATGAATTATTCCATCTTCCCAATTTATAAAAGTGTGAATCAAGCTACAGTTTCGAACACAAATTACAAGTTTGAAAACTGGTAGGTCTCCTCCGGGTCCTATCTGCTGTCACAACGTTATTTCGCCCCTTTCTAGACTATAATACAAGATGGCGCTATTGATTCCAGAGCCATCTATATACAGCCATCTATGTTATTATGAATCATAATTTGGATTACATGGGTGCAAGTAATATTTCGAAAAGCAAATATAGGGACTCATTATTAGACTTTCTAGATAAGCTTGATTTAATTGACGTGTGGCGTAAGCGTCATCCTAATAAGAAAGAATTCACTTTCAGACAGAAGCAGCCATTAGTTCAGAGTAGATTGGATTATATCTTCATTTCTTCGAAAGTAGACAAGTTGATAAGAAAGTCTGAAATTTTGCCTTCCATTACACCTGACCATGCTGGAGTTAGAATAGAATTTAACAATTTAGTCGATAGTTTTGTTTATGGGAAATCGTATTGGAAGTTTAATAGTAGTCTATGTAATGAAAAAGATTTTGTAGATGGGGTAAAAAAGAAGATTTCTGAAATAGAGGAAACTTGGCGGAATCAAATAACGAGCAAAATTAAATTTTGGGATTTTATGAAATTGAAATTAAGAGAATATATAATGAAATTCTCCCGTGAAAAAGCAAAACTCAGAAGAGTCCACATGGAGAAATTGGAAAAAGAAATTAAAGACCTGGAATATCGATTGACGATCAACATTAATTGTCATAAAAGTATTCAGGATGAAATTGACATGAAAAAAATGGAATTAGAGAAGCTTTTCGACTATTCACGTCAAGGGTTAAAAGTCCGTTCAAGGACAGAATGGTCTGAAGAAGGAGAAAAAAATTCAAAGTTTTTTGAACAATTACTAAAGTCAAATAAAAGGAAAAGTGTGATTAAGGAGATATATAATGAAAATAAGGAAACTGTGAGGGATGGCAAAGGGATTTTGAATATTATCAGGGAGTTTTACGAGAATTTATATGCATGTAAAAATGGTGAAATTACAGAGGATATTGAAAATATGTTCTTAAATGAATTACCCAAATTAAGTAAAGAAAATAAAGAGTATTGTGAAGGCAAAATAACACTGGCAGAATGCTATCAGGCAGTAAAGGAAATGAAATGGAACAAATCACCAGGCAATGACGGCTTCTCGACTGAGTTTTATTTCACGTTCTGGCCAATTTTAGGGAAAACAATAGTGGAGGCTTTTAATGAAAGTTTTGAAACAAAAATGTTATCAAACTCACAGAGACAGGGGGTAATTACACTAATTGAGAAAGAAGGCAAAGACCCTTTGTACATGAAAAACTATAGGCCAATTACTCTCTTAAATGTAGATTATAAAATATTGTCGAAAGTATTAGCTACAAGGGTAAAGGAGGTATTGGAGGATATTATTCATTACGATCAGGTGGGCTATGTTAAAGATCGGAATATTGGGGAAGCGGTTCGGTTAATTGATGATACATTCTTTCAGTCCTTGTATCAACCTGTAGGCTTTTTAATTGCCGTAGATTTTGAAAAGGCTTTCGATTGCATTTCCCATAAACTTTTATTTAAAGCTTTGGAACAGTTTGGGTTTGGTAAAGTTTTGTGTTCTTGGGTTAAAACCCTCTACACTAATGTTAGCAGTTGCGTGATGAACGGGGGACACTCAACAGGATATTTTGGAATTAATAGAGGGGTAAGACAAGGCGACCCCCTATCTCCATATTTATTTGTAATAGTTATCGAATTACTAGCTCGTTATATTAGGAAAGATGAGAGCATTAAAGGGGTAGGATTCGGGAATAAAGAAATAAAGCAAGTTTTGTATGCAGATGATATTACATTGTTTTTAAAAGATATGGATTCAATTAATAAAGTGAAGAAAGTTTTCAAAAACTTTGAAAAAATAAGTGGATTGAAGATAAATATGGATAAGACAAATTTTATGTGGTTAGGAGAGGAAAGTGATAGGCCGGGTTTACCCTTTTTTGGACATAGGGTACAACATATAAAGATCCTAGGGGTATATTTCGCACGTCATTCCAAAATAAAAGATGATTTGAACTATAAGGAAATTTTGAGCAAAATCAAAAGACTAATCGGTTGGTGGAAGCAACGAGATTTAACGATGTCTGGCAAAATTAAATTGTTGAAGATATATGTATTTTCAAAACTAAATTATGTTTCGTCTCTTATGACAGTCCCACAAAACATTTTTGAAGAAATCGAAAAGATTTCTTTTAATTTTATTTGGGGAGGGAGAGACAGAATAAAACGGAAAATATTATATCAAGATTACTGCGCTGGGGGACTCAGAGTAACGAATTTTAAGATATTTATCAAGACTCAGAGAATAATGTGGATCAAACGGTTGCTCTATGGAGAAAAGTATTCAGGTTGGAAAGTAACCTTTGACCACTTTTTCAGATCACTGGGGGGTCGAATTATATTTCTTTGTAATTATGATATAAATAAAATGGACTTGAAGGGTATACCATCTTTTTATAAAGACATGTTGAAGGCATGGCAAGAATTAGATAAATGCAGACACTTTGGAGAAAATAAGAATAATCCGATTATATTTAGCAATAAGTGTATATGTCTCAGCAATAAAACATTTTTTGATGTCGAACTATTTCAGAAAGGTATACTTCAAGCATCAGATATAATTGTCAGAGGTCATTTAAAACCGATCTTACATTTTTTAAATTTGGGTTTTGCAACTAAAAGCTTGCTTAGAATTCAAAAGATCTTTTCAGCAATCAGAAACGAATGGATACAAAGTGATTTTATGGAAGTGGACATTGAAAATTTTGAAATAGAATTGATGATATATGGACGTTTACAGAAACTATGTGATATAAAATCTAGGCGGTTATATGATTACTTCATTGAAGACCTTCAAAAAGAGTATACATTACATGTTACAGATGGCAACTGTCAATTTGATCTTGGAATGACGGAGTTGAAAGAAACATTCACAAGGATGAAAGGTGCAATGCTTTGTAATATACATAGAGAGTTTCAATACAAACAATTACAAGGGGCTGTATATACGAAAAGAGAGCTCTTTAAATTTGGTTTTGAGTCAGACCATTTTTGTTCCTTTTGTGGACTAGAAGTAGAGACATACCAACACTTATTTTTAGATTGTCTTAAAGTTAAAAGATTATGGCAGGAGGTAATTCAAAAGTTACATTTAATCGAAATTGACATTGATGATTGGAAACCCATATTTATGGGAATATCCGGAAATACTACTAGAATATTTGTAATAAATTGTATCATATTTTTAGTAAAGTATATCATTTTTATTTCTAGAAAAGAAGGAACTTTGCCATCTGTACAGAAAACAGT